AAGCAGGGAGGGGGAAACAGGTAGCTAGGTCTTGGGTGGGTGCCGGAGGCCTTCTGAATAAGTTTAGCCAGAGGCGCGAGGTCGCCATGCAAAGCGTTGGGAGAACAGCACGTGGCATGCCGTAATCTGGATGGAGTTGGACCATTGCTAGCTCAGGCATGGCTCCCATCACGAGCTTTTAGGTGTAAAGCTGTTGCGACCAGGTTTGCCATGATGGTTGCCATGGGCGAGGCAGAGATGAGGACCTTGTGCTGAGAGCTTTGAGCCAGGGAGATGTTGGAGTGACCCTCTTGAGTGCTGAAGTTCTGCTGAAGGAAGAACAACCCTGTGGCAGCACTGAGCGAGATGATGGACCCGCGGTAAGTTCGTGGGATGTACCATGATGTACCTGTTCGGTGTTTTGCTCGGCCAGGCGAGCCCAGTATTTAGGTTTTCCTACAGCGAACAGAAGAGGACACCATTGATGCCTCGCCCAAGACGGTGGTAGCAGCTCTGAATGGTCCCGCCTTGGGCGGTGGCTGCGAGGCTTGAGACCTGCACAGGGTCCTGAGCGCACCAAGACTTCTAAGAGAGGGCTTCAAGGGGCTTGAGAACATCCCAAGCGCCTGTGAAGTCTGTGAAGTCTGTGACTCTTGCAGGTCAGCCTGGCCTGCCACTACCGCGTGGCCACGCCAAAAGCCTCGGTCGGCTTCCCGGAGGCCAGTTCGTTTCCTGTGGCATCGTGCCACAGGTGTGCGTGTGTCTTCGTGCGTGTGTTGCTGCCAGGTGAACCTGGGATTGCTCCCGGGCGCGCAGGGCACGCAGCGGCTTCCTCGCGTTGCCGCCCTCCCCGTGGCGCTTCCAATGATCTTGCAGGGCCGGCCCATGAACGTGACTCGGCCAGGAAGCCCAAGGAAGCCCAAGGAAGCCCAAGGAAGCCCAAGGAAGCCCAAGGAAGCCCAAGGAAGCCCAAGGAAGCGCAAGGAAGCGCAAGGAAGCGCACGGAAGCGCAAGCGGACAGCAGGAGGACAGAGAGGAAAGAGAGATAGATGACCCGTGGCACGGGCGAGCTCTGCTCTGAGGCCGAAGCTGCGAAGAAGAACGGCATCATCGATGTGGTTGCAAAGGGAGACGCTACTTGCCGTGCTTTTCCTAAACATGTCTTGTGAACGCTGCATGCGGGACGGAGCAAAAGCTAGAAGTAGGCTCCAAGTCATAAGCTGCTGCCTGCCATGACTATAGTAAGAACCTTGCAAGTGACCATTTGCACGTAGACGCAACTAGCCAAGCTGACCAGCAGTTTCTGTGAACAGCCCGCCCCCTTATCCCACGCCACTAGGATGCAGTTTGTCAGCATGAAATGAGGATCCAGGCGGCCGCCGTCGGCACATGTCCGTTCCTGTCAGAACCATCCGAAAACCACGTTGCACCGCGGTGCGCCATGCTGCGCGCTTCGATTCGTTCATCAGAGCATCGGCAGCATGGGTGCACAGCCGAGGTTGTGGAGGAGGCCGCCGGGTTCGCCCTGTCGCACCCGCCGGCGCCCATCTCCAAGCGCGATGTGCCCAAGACCAATCGCCTGATGGTCGCGGCTGGAGGCACGCAAGCGCGCACAAGGGGTGTGCAAGGGGCAAGCATGATGGATCATGATGGACTCTGCGGTTGCCGTTCTGGCCGTTGCTTCATCTTTCCAGGCCTCCATGCAGCTCTGAACATGGCCTTCAATGCACAGCCTTTGATGGTGGCACCGGCTGGCATCATCAACTGCTTCGAGGCCGCCTGTTCAGGAAAGAGTTTCAAGGAGGGCGTGGCAGTCGAGATGGAGGAGTTCACGAAACTGGTGCCTTGGCCGCACGCTTGGTCGAACAGGACTCGAAGACGAAGCGACGAAAGAAATGTTTAGCTAGGCCCAGCTAGGCAGTGATGTCACTAGAGTCACTAGAGCACACTAGAGCCAACATTGTTTGACCAATGCAGTCAGGTCTTCTCTGTGCAGTCAGCTGCTTTGAGACACCTCTTCTTGGCCGAGCGAATGGCGCAGAAGGTGCCTGGAGTGAACGAGAAGCCGGCACCGCTGAAGAAGATCGGCATCCTAGGTGCAGGACTCATGGGAGGCGGCATCGCCATGTGCTTCGTGCAGAAAGGGATCCCAGTGGTCCTCAAGGATGCGAAGAAGGAGTGGCTGGAGGATGGCATGAAGAAGATTGAGGGTCTCTGGGGTGGCCAGGCGAAAAGGGGCCGCTTGAGCCAGGACAAGTACAAGCAGTACATGAGCCTCCTGAAGCCGACATTAGACTATGCTGACTTCAAGGATGTGGACATGGTCATTGAGGCAGTCCCTGAAATCATGGACCTCAAGAAGGAGGTGTTCCTCGACATCGAGAAGAACACCAAGCCAGATGCCCTCATCTGCACTAACACCAGTGGCCTGAACATTGATGACATCGCGGCCGTGCTGAAGGACCCTAGCCGTGTCATGGGCACCCACTTCTTCTCCCCAGCCAACGTGATGCAGCTGCTGGAGAACGTCCGAACGGCCAAGTCCAGCACCAAAACGTTGGCCACCGGAATGGCAGCTTGGCTGTTTGGCACACACACACACATCCTTCCTTCTTGCAAGGTCTAGATCTGCATAGCAGATTCCTTTGTTGAAACTAGTGTGACCGGGTGTGACGGTGTGCCTGGTATCTGATTGCCAGGCCATGGGCAAACTGATCAGCAAGAAAGCCATCATGGTAGGCAACTGCGATGGCTTCGTGGGCAACCGAATGCTTGCGCCATATGCCGGGGAGGCGAAGATGGTTCTGGAGGAAGGCAGGGTCGCTCATGCTTGAGTTGTAATGCAATGTTGGTGCGGAGGGGCTTACCAATATGATGGTAAAAGTCTGCAAGTTCTTGTCGCTGCCATGACGCAGTCTACATGGCGAGGTGCCAACATTGAGCAGGTGGATAACGCTGCTCGGAAGTTTGGAAGCGTGGCAGCATGTAGCAGCGTAGCAGCTCGTGGATGCAGTCACAAACTTTAAAGCAGCTCTGCTGCGTTGTCTGTTCGAGTACTTTGGAGCACCGGAATCTGGAGATTTCTCGAGGCATGGCCATGGGTCCCATGGCATTGGGCGATTTGGTGGGCCTGGAGCTTTTCTGGAAGCAGCGCAAGGCCAGGCTTGTGTGGCTTGGGCCGAGCACTCGGAAGTGACGGCCGATCCGTTCATGTTGGGCGTGCTCGCGTGCAAGCTACATGCAGGAACACACGACGCAGCAATGCGACGCGGCACGTGCGCGTGAGCTCTTAAGACTTGCAGTCGTTACACATCTGCACAGCCAGGCGGCCGGCGACATGAAGAAGCAGACCAAGACGTACTATGGCCCCTATGAGCTGACGGACTGGGAATGGCTTGACTTGCATTGGGAGCCTGCATCGCCGCCTTTTTCGTGATAGCGTAACCGGGGAAACCTTGAGAACGTACGTACAGGAGTTCACATCGGGAAGGCATTCCGAAGTTCAGGGCACGAGTCGGCTGGAACATTCATACGTTCCTGCGTCGATGAAGTTTCTCCGCCGCGCAGCTTCCTCTGACAAAAGGACTGGCTGTGTGAGCAGGGCCGCTTTGGCCTGAAGACGCCTGACCCGAAGATCAAGGCAGCGAGGGGACGGATGGTCATGTTTGGGGCATGTTTGGGGCGGGGAGGTGAAGGCTCGCCACCCACATCCTCGCCAGGCCAACGGCCGTGGCGTCTTCATCCACCGTGGCCGCAGCAAGGAGGCGCGTGACGGTCAGCACAGCTGCGTGCTTCCCAGGGCACCGGGGCACCAGTGCCCGGTAGCGTCTGAAAAGAGCCTTCTGCCCTCCTGAGAAATCACCTTGAAATCTCGCGAAGCCGGACCTGGAGACCTCAGGTGGATCCCGAGGTCATCGCCAAGCTGGATGAGGTTCGCAAGATGAAGGGCATGACGCCCCGGGCCGTTTCCGACGAGGAGACCCTGCACCTTTCCCGCTGCTCGAGCCCTTTTGAGCCCTTTCAATGTGCGGTTCTGTCTCCCCGTCTCCACTGTTCCCATGGTCCTATCCACTTCTTAGGGCTTTGGGCATCCTGATGTCTCACCATCGCTACGGCACGAGAGGAGATTTGCGAGAGGCTCTTCTTCTCGATGATCAATGAGGGCTTCAAGATCCTCGAGGACATGCCGAAGTATATGCCATGGGCCCGTGCTGGGAGTGAGATTTGTTGGTCATCATGTTTCCGGTTTCTGCAGCCACTGGGCCTGGTGTGGATAGTCGCGTCCGCTAGGAAGGATACGTGGCTCGGTCCTCAGACATCGACCTGGCCTACATCTACGGATATGGCTTCCCCCCTGCCAAGGCAGGCAATTGCATCCGCATGCATCTGCTGATGTCGCTCATCGTCGCTCCGATTCCTCTCAGTTCTTCACACCCGGTCGGAAGGTCGAGTTTCGGCTGTGCAATCATGCGCGCTCGGGCGCACGCGTGTGCACGCATGGTCCTGTCTTGACAGGGTGGCCCTATGTTCTACGCCGAGAACTACGCTGGCTTCAAGAAGATCCTGGAGCGCGTGAAGTACTACAACCAGCAGGCCAAGGTGGGGAGCGCAGAAAGTCGCTGGGGTTACAGATGACGTTCTTCAGTTCGCTCACCCATTATGCAACTTTGCATCAACGTGACATGCTATCAAAACTCTTTCGGCGCTACGGCAACATCTGGCAACTATGCAGAATTGGAAACCGGAATGAATGTGTCGCCAACGTAAGCCAGTGTACCCACATGATCCATGGTCTGACCTGCATGTTGCGGCCGAGCCGGCACGGACGGACATACAAGCGGAGTCAGTAGTGTTTTTGTTGTGGATCGAGCCTTTGAGCCAGTTCTCGTGGGTGTTGCGATGCCCCCGCCTGTGTGCTCGGTGGGCCAAGAAAACGCGACCTAGGGGGGCATATGAACGCCTAGATGAAGGCCCTTTCTCAGGATCAGAGCAGTACCTTGCAATGACTGATGGGGACTGAGGAGCGCTTCACCAAGAACTCCAACTACTTGCCGATCGACTACTTTGAGCCGTCCAAGCTTTTGGAGGCATGCGCAGCCAAGGAAGGGACCAAGGCTGGGCCAGGGTCTCACGCAAAAAAACGGTAAAGTGCAAAGTGGTCCACAGTAGTGGCTCACGGAGTTCTTACATAAGTTCGTTGCATCTTGGCGTGAACTTCTGAGCTTCAGGTGTTCCCTGGCCAGACGCTGATTGATGTGGTCCTGGCCGAGTTCCGCAAGAAGGGTTCTGCCCCTGGCCCGTTTGCGAAGCTTTGAGAAGCTTCTGCAAGCTGTGCAAGCTGCACTGGAAACCAGTGACCGGTAACCGGTAACCTGTGGGACAAGCTTGGCTGAATGGAGCCTTGTATGGCGCGCCTGCAAAAATGGCGCAATTTGTCACTTTTTGGAAGCTGCAGCAGGAACGGCCAGGTTCATTTAGTGCCGAGGCTGCTGCAGCAACTCGCTTTTGCTTTAGGTAATTCGGTGCAAGCGCCTGGCAGCCGTTCAAACGACTGTGTTGAAAAGCGAACCGCGGACAGATGCCCTGTGCGTGTTTTGTATGGAGACAGTGTCCAGTCAGAAACGGTCCGCCAGACGCTGACACAGATGCTGGCACAGCCCGCCTCGTTTCTGAGTTCCAAAGTGGAACATATGTGTCCAAGTGCGTCGGTGGTACTTGCGAAGGCACCAAGTGTGAGTATCAATGATGCAGAGTGGTCGGGGTGTCGAGGTTGGTTTCTGCTAGGATGGAGCGTGTTCCCACAAGCGCACCGACAACAGGAGGAGTAGTGTTTGCAACAGTTTTGTACATCGCCGCAACAAAAGATGCTGAACTCAGTGCAACACACGCACGGTTCAACCCGTCAGATGGTCTGCAAGTGTGAATTTGCTTGCTTTGAAAGGCACTCCCGTGCTGCACAGACCTGGGAAGTATGAGGTTAGATGTTGCGCCCAGAAGATTGGCATCGAATCTCAATTCGGGTGCTGAGATGTGGTCAGTAGTAAGTATACGTAGAAGCAATCTTGGAAGGAAGATGACCCAAGCATGCCTGCCAATGTCTACATTTTTTCAATATGCCAGATATGATAGAACACGCCGTCTGTGCGGTCGGCAAGTGGACCCAGTTGCCTCTCGCTGTGACAGAAGCTTGTGCTTGGATCCGGCCCAGGCGAGCAAAGATCAAGCGCACGGCTAGGCAGCGTGCCATGAGAGAGCGCCTGGCCCTCAGACTCAGACACCGGCTGTGCCCATGCAAGAGCGTCTGACCCCAGCAGGTAAAAAGCAAACTTGGGATCCGAAGCAAGTCCTGGAGACCCTGTCCGACTTCAAGAAGTGCCGAGCTCCGCAAATCCGGCACAAACACAGAAACACCCGATGTCTGATTTTTAGGGCAACGCCAAATAGCGCGCGGGGTCAAAAAGGGCAACACCAAATACAACCTTCATGCCCTCTCAGCCTAGGCACCTCCGACGTACTTATGGGAGCTATTTGCGAGCCTGGCGATTAGTGCTGAGCCCGAACGACTCGGCCGCTTGCATGGGACAGAATTGAAGCTTGTCCATGGGGCTGAGGGTGTAATGCGGCATGCGCAATCCCGGAGACATAGCACCACAAGGTGACGGTCTCCCGCACCCAGTTCCTCACGGCGTGCTCGGCCTTGGGATTCAAGGCCAGGCATGCAAAAGGTCCACAGGGCTAAGAGCCTGGCATGCCTGGTTCGAGCCTTCACAGAATTGCTTGTCATTGCTTGTCATTGTCAATTTTCATTCTTTGTCAACCAGGATGCCGGCAAAGTTCTCTGGCGCGCTTTTGGAAGAGACCGGCGCTCAGGGAATTGCATGGTGTTGCAGTCAAGATTTCCGGTGTTTCCGGTGTTTCCGACTTCGCTGATGCATGTTGCGAATTCTGTGGGCTTTTGCATCAGTTTGCAGAGCGCGGTCGCCTGTATGTCAGGATGAGCTGAGCCCCATCTCTCTGGACTTCCTGGATCCGGAGTCTGCCGAGCCCAGCCTTGAAGAATCCCTGGGTTGTGCCCCAAATTTCTATATTTTAAGGGGCTGCGCCCATGGGCGGGCAGCGCACGCAGAAGCCCGGGGCGAGCAGTTTCTAAGCATGTTGAGGCCCCTAAACTCCCTTAAAATCTCTAAGCGTTAGGTTTCTAAGCATTTTCAGGCCCCTAAATAAGCGTTTGAGGCTCCTAGACTCCCTTAACGTTTCTAAGCACTTTATAAGGCCCCTAAACTCCCTTTTTCCTAGCCCCGGGCTTAGACACGTCGCTTATGCCCGCCCTTTGGGGGGCATCATGCTCCTGATGCGCCCCCGGGGTCCCGCCCCGGGAGCCGCTGATGCTCCTGATGCGCGCCTGGGGGTCCCGGGCTGGACCCGCTGATGCTCATGATGCGCGCCCTTTGGGGGCCTCCGTGGCGACGCAAAAAACCACGAAAAAAAAACCGTTCACCGGCGGCACGCGGGGGTCGGCGGCACTGGCGTCCGGCCTAATTCTGCTTCGCAGAAGGCCAGAGGCCAGCAAGGCTATTCCCGGGACGACCCGGGCTAAAAGGTCCGCATTTGCTCGGTCCTTTGGGGACCTCGCGCTGCCCGATTTAATGGCTACCGCCAGTGCCGCCGACCCCCAACAGGGGAAGCACAGCCGGGCGGACGGTGCGGGGTGTAGGGTCCAGGGCTAGGGGGCAGGGTGGAGGGGGGTCTGCAGGGTTCCGTCGGCAGGATGTCACGTGAACACGAGGCCGTCCGGGCTTGCGCTTTGGACGGCTTCGGGTATCGGCGTATTTCGGGGGGGGGGGACTCGGCGTATTGGTGTATTTCGAGGGGAAGGCAGGGGGGGGGAGGAGAACGGCTTATCGGCGCATGGGCATATTTCCCAGAGGCTTTGGGGGGGGGGGGGGGGCGAACGGCGTACAATTTCCGGGGGAGGAGGGGGAAGCGGCGTATCGGCTTAGCGCGTGCTTTCCGGGAGGGGGGGGGTTAGCGTATCTATTGGAGAGGGGGGGGGGGGGGAAACGCGTATCGGTGTACTTGGCTTGCTGCAGACACGCATCAAGGTCGCATCGAGATTGGCAATGAGATCAATGGTATTGCTGTCTTGTCGGGGGGGGGGGGGTTGTAGCCTTGTCGCGGGGAGGGTTGTCGCGGACACGGCAGGTCTGTTACAAACCTTTGTCGCGGAGGGACCCCCCGGTGCCTGTTACAAGCCCGGAAAAAATAAACTCACCGCCATATAGATTTTGTAGGTTATAGTATATATATCTATATAAACATATATTACATATTGCATATTTATATACATATGTTACATATTGCATCTTGCGTGCCGGAACCCCCCCCCCCTTCCGGGCGCGACATACCCGCGACAACCCGCGCGACTGCTCGAGCCAGCAGGTGCCCATCCGTAGGACAACCTTGAACGAGAAGCCCAGGGTTTATATTTACAGGGTTCAGGCTTTAATGGCTCTCCGGTAAAATCCCTGCGGTCCCTAAACCCTTCATCCGAAACCCCAACCCTAAACCTAAACCCTTTACCCTAAAGCCTTACAAAACCCAACTAAGAAAATTGGGTTCAAAGTAGCGGCGCGACAAAGGTATGAAACAACCTGCCCGCGACAAGGCTTGTAACAGAGGGACGGGGGACCCCCCGCGACAACCCGAATTTTGACCCACTGCCATATACGACATACGATATACTATATAGTAGATACTGCATACTAGATGCTATGTATTATATGTGATATATATATATATATATATATATATATATATATATATATATATATTGTATTATATGATATATCATATTGCATATTGTAAACTATATCTTTTACATATGATACGCGCCAAAGGGTCGGTTTGCCCACGCCCAAGCCGTCCAACATAGGGTTTAAGGTTTAGGGTTTAGGGTTTGGGAAGTAGGGTTTAGGGTTTAGGGTTTTTGCATGGGATCCGAAACCACCCCTGGGAGCTCCGCAGCCGTAGCTGGGGCTTCGTCCTCGCGCGGGCTCGGGGCCGAGGTGCCTGGGACGAATCGCGTGTTTCAGTTGGGGTTGAGGGTTTGGGGCCCACGGTTAAAAAGGGTTTCGGGTTCAAACTTAAACGGGGGGAGTCCAAAACTTAGTAGGACTGTTGGGTTCGAGGTCTAGGGCGTTTTGGCTGGGGAGGAGGGAGTGTTAGGTTGAGTTTGGGGACGCGCCTCGCGCTTGACGCAGGCTCAACCCGAGGAACAGGTTTCACGGGCCAGGATCAGATCTTTGGGTATAGGGTCCAGGTTTGAGGGGGGGTGCGGTAGGGCTGACGGTCTAGTTTAGGTTGAACCCTGCCCAAGATTGGATTCCGGGTTTGGACCCTAAAGCCCGAAACCCTGAAGCTTGGTAGCGTGGGGCATCTGCTTCTCCATCTTGAGTGCGTTTAGTGAGGTAGCCCTGCATGGACCTTATCGCTGACTTTGCCGCCCTCTCCGCCCTCTCCGCCCCATGGCGCTCCATGGCTCCATGGCTCCATGGTCCGTCCCATGGCCCCCATGGCCTCATGGCTCCAGCCCTCTAGCCCCCAATGGCTCATGGCTCCATGGCTCCATGGTCCCATGCCTCCCACGGCTTCACGCCCCGAAACCCTATGTGCATGCTCGCCCTCTCCGCCCTCTCTGCCCCCTCCGCCCTTCCCGCCCCATGGCTCCATGGTCCCATGGCCCCTTTCATGGCCTCCTGGCCCATCAGCTGACTTTAAAGGCCCGCCCTCTCCGCATGGTCCCATAACCCCCCATGGCCTCATGGCCCCATGGCTCCCCTATGGCCCCTAAAGCTCTAAGGCTATCAGCAGTGTGCGGTCGCCGACCGGGTCGCGACGACTTTTCCTGTGAAACCAAACCACCTAAACCACACACTTTAAACCCTACACCATCAGGCCAGAGAGCAAAAAGGTCACAGCAAGGCCAACGAGCAGTAGTAGAAGGTCCGGGAGTAGTACTTCTCTATTCCCTGCTCGCCCTAGGCATGACCCTAAGCCCTAAACCCTAAACCCTGTTTGGGGACTCCAGGGTCTGAAGGATCAAGTGAAACAAGGGTGCATAGCAAACCCTGAAACCTAAACCCCTGATTTCATGCTTCTACAAAACTTCCAGCAGAAAAGCTTAAGGTTCAACGTGAGGGTTTGAGGCCCCAGGCCTTAAGGTCATAACCCGTAACTCTAGAGTTCTGTTGGGGGGGGGGGGGGGCGTGAGGCACGGGAGCCATGGGGCTGGGGGGGGGGAGGGGGGTGGGGGGGGGGGTGGAAGTGCGGGGGGGGGGGGGGGGGGGGGGGGGTGGGCGCGGGGGGGAGGCGGGACAAGACCGGGGGGGGGGGGGGGGGGGGGAGGAGGGGGGAGGGGGGGGTACCCGATGGGACCATGCATGAGCCATTGGGGGCCGGAAGCATGAAGCCATGAGGCCATGGGCCATGGGACCATGGAGCCCTGAAGGGAAGAGTGAGAAGGTCCGCGTGAGGCCGTGGGACCATGGAGCCACGGAGCGCCATGGAGCGGGAAGGGCGGAGGGGGCGGAAAGGGCGGAGGGGGCGGAGAGGGCGGAGAGGGCGGGCATGCACTAAAGGTCCATGTCAACGCTTTGGATGGGGCGAGTCGGTGGTAGGGAGCCATAGGTCCATGAGCGGCATGGGCGGGGCGAGGTGTGTGGGTGGCAGGGGTAGAGCAAACGGGCGGGCGTGCACTGAGGCCCTGCTTTAAAGTCAGCTGATAGGGGCGGGGCGGGATGGGGCCATGCACGCACCATTGGGGGCCAGAGGCATGGGGCCATGAGGCCATGGGCCATGGGATCATGAGCCCTGGAAGGAAGAGTGACAAGGTCCACGGGCATCCGTGGGACCATGGAGCCATGGAGCGCCATGGAGCGGGAAGGGTGGAGGGGGCGGAAAGGGCGGAGAGGGGCGCAGGTGAGAGGGTCCAAAGCCGTGAAGCCATGGGAGCCATGGGGCGGGATGGGACCATGGGCCACAGAACCATGGAGCCATGGAGCGCCATGTAGCGGGAAGGACGGGGGCGGAAAGGGCGGAATGGGCGGAGGGGGCGGGGAGCGGAGAGGGCGGGCATGCACTGGGACCCTTTGAAGTCAGCTGATAGGGTCCAAAGCCGTGAAGCCATGGGAGCTGGAGCCATGGTGAGAGGCAATGGGGCCATGAGGCCATGGCAGGGTAAAGGAAGGGCAGAGGCGGCGGAGAAGGCGGATGATAAGGTCCAGGGACGTGAGGCCGTGGGAGCCATGGGGCATGGGACCAATGAAGCCATGGAGCGCCATGGGGCGGGAAGGGCGGAGGGGGCGGGAACCATATGGAGAGCCATGGAGCGGGAAGGGCGGAGGGGGCGGAGTGGGAAGGGCGGAGGGGGCGGAAAGGGCGGAAAGGGCGGAGGGGGCGGGGAGGGCGGAGAGGGCGGGCATGCACTGGGACCCTTTAAAGTCAGCTGATAGGGTTCAAAGCCGTGAAGCCATGGGAGCCATGGGGCGGGATGGGACCATGGAGCCATGGGGCCATGAGCCATTGAGGGTGAGAGGGGCCATGAGGCCATGGGGGGGCAAGGAAGGGCAGAGGCGGCGGAGAAGGCGGATGATAAGGTCTGAAGCCGGGCGGGATGGGACCATGGGGCCATGGGACCATGGAGCCATGGAGCGCCATGGAGCGGGAAGGGCGGAGGGGGCGGAAAGGGCGGGGGGGTAAAGGAGGGGCAGAGGCGGCGGAGAAGGCGGAGGAAAAGGTCCAAGGACATGAGGCCGTGGGAGCCATGGGGCATATGGGACCAATGAAGCCAGGAGCGCCATGGGGCGGGAAGGGCGGAGGGGGCGGGAACCATATGGAGCGCCATGGAGCGGGAAGGGCGGAGGGGGCGGAGCGGGAAGGGCGGAGGGGGTGGAAAGGGCGGAAAGGGCGGAGGGCAGGGAGGGCGGAGAGGGCGGGCATGCACTGGGACCCTTTAAAAGTCAGCTGAGAGGGTCCCAAGGTGAAGCCATGGGAGCCAT